TGGGCTACAAGGAGAATAGAAGCATCAGGGAAGAGAGAGGTGAAGGTTTATAAACTAAAAGAGGAGGCAGTTAGGGTAAGATATAAACAGCTATTGGAGGATAGATGGGCTAATGAGAGCATAGGCAATGGGGTCAAAGAGGTATGGGGTAGGTTTAAAAATGTAGTGTTAGTGTGTTCAGCAGAAGTTTGTGGTTACAGGAAAGTGGGTGCAGGAGGGAAGAGGAGCGATTGGTGGAATGATGATGTAAAGAGAGTAGTAAGGGAGAAAAAGTTAGCATATGAGAAGTTTTTACAAAGTAGAAGTGATGCAAGGAGGGAAGAGTATATGGAGAAAAAGAGAGAGGTTAAGAGAGTGGTGAAGCAATGTAAAAAGAGAGCAAATGAGAGAGTGGGTGAGATGTTACCAACAAATTTTGTTGAAAATAAGAAAAAGTTCTGGAATGAGATTAACAAGTTAAGGAAGCCTAGAGAACAAATGGATTTGTCAGTTAAAAATAGGAGAGGAGAGTTATTAAATGGAGAGTTAGAGGTATTGAGAAGATGGAGGGAATATTTTGAGGAATTGTTAAATGTTGATGAAGATAGGGAAGCTGTGATTTCGTGTATAGGGCAAGGAGGAATAACATCTTGTAGGAGTGAGGAAGAGCCAGTTGTCAGTGTGGGGGAAGTTCGTGAGGCAGTAGGTAAAATGAAAGGGGGTAAAGCAGCTGGGATTGATGGGATAAAGATAGAAATGCTAAAAGCAGGTGGGGATATAGTTTTGGAGTGGTTGGTGCTATTATTTAATAAATGTATGGAAGAGGGTAAGGTACCTAGGGATTGGCAGAGAGCATGCATAGTTCCTTTGTACAAAGGCAAAGGGGACAAAAGAGAGTGCAAAAATTATAGGGGGATAAATCTGTTGAGTATACCTGGTAAAGTGTATGGTAGAGTTATTATTGAAAGAATTAAGAGTAAGACGGAGAATAGGATAGCAGATGAACAAGGAGGCTTTAGTAAAGGTAGGGGGTTTGTGGACCAGGTCTTCAAAGTGAAACATATAAGTGAACAGTATTTAGATAAGGCTAAAGAGGTTTTTGTGGCATTTATGGATTTGGAAAAGGCGTATGACAGGGTGGATAGGGGGGCAATGTGGCAGATGTTGCAGGTGTATGGTATAGGAGGTAGGTTACTGAAAGCAGTGAAGAGTTTTTACGAGGATAGTGAGGCTCAAGCTAGAGTATTTAGGAAAGAGGGAGATTATTTCCCAGTAAAAGTAGGCCTTAGACAAGGATGTGTGATGTCACTGTGGTTGTTTAATATATTTATAGATGGGGTTGTAAGAGAAGTAAATGCGAGGGTCTTGGCAAGAGGCGTAGAGTTAAAAGATAAAGAATCACACATAAAGTGGGAGTTGTCACAGTTGCTCTTTGCTGATGATACTGTGCTCTTGGGAGATTTTGAAGAGAAGTTGCAGAGGTTGGTGGATGAATTTGGTAGGGTATGTAAAAGAAGAAAATTAAAAGTGAATACAGGAAAGAGTATGGTTATGAGGATAACAAAGAGATTAAGTGATGAAAGATTGGATATCAGATTGGAGGGAGAGAGTATGGAGGAGGTGAATGTATTCAGATATTTGGGAGTGGACGTGTCAGTGGATGGATCTATGAAAGATGAGGTGAATCACAGAATTGATGAGGGGAAAAGGGTGAGCAGTGCACTTAGGAGTCTGTGGAGACAAAGAACTTTGTCCTTGGAGGAAAAGAGGTGAATGTATGAGAGTATAGTTTTACCAATGCTCTTATATGGGTGTGAAGCATGGGTGATGAATGCTGCAGCCAGGAGAAGGCTGGAGGCAGTGGAGATGTCATGTCTGAGGGCAATGTGTGGTGTGAATATAATGCAGAGAATTCGTAGTTTGGAAGTTAGGAGGAGGTGCGGGATTGCCAAAACTGTTGTCCAGAGGGCTGAGGAAGGGTTATTGAGGTGGTTCGGACATGTAGAGAGAATGGAGCGAAACAGAATGACTTCAAGAGTGTATTAGTATGTAGCGGAAGGAAGGCGGGGTAGGGGTCAGTCTAGGAAAGGTTGGAGGGTGGGGGTAAAGGAGGTTTTGTGTGCGAGGGGCTTGGACTTCCAGCAGGCATGCGTGAGTGTGTTTGATAGGAGTGAATGGAGACAAATGGTTTTTAATGCTTGACGTGCTGTTGGAGTGTGAGCAAAGTAACATTTATGAAGGGATTCAGGGAAACCGGCAGGCCGGACTTGAGTCCTGGAGATGGGAAGTACAGTGCCTGCACTCTGAAGGAGGGGTGTTAATGTTGCAGTTTAAAAACTGTAGTGTAAAACACCCTTCTGGCAAGACAGTGATGGAGTGAATGATGGTGAAAGTTTTTCTTTTTCGGGCCACCCTGCCTTGGTGGGAATCGGCCAGCGTGTTAATAAAAAAATAATCATTATTACATGTATGGGGGAATACTAAACCTGTAGGGGTCATACAGTGCCTGGGACAATAGGAGGCAATCAAGTTCAATCCAAGGAAGGGGAGGTGAGGTCTGATTCTCTGAATCTAAAGCACTTCACCAGCACCAAGGAGGTATTTAAAGTGGAACATGGTTACTGAGTGTGGTTTTGCCCCCAATGAACTGAAAAATTAATTTAGTGTATGACAGGAACTCGATATACAGAGGACCCCTGCCTTACGATATTAATCCATTCCTGAGAGCTCATCATGAGACGAAATTATCACAAGGCAAATTAATTATCCCCATGAGAAATAATGGAAATCAAATTAATCCGTGCAAGACACCCAAAAGTCTGAAAAAAAAAAATTTTTTACCACATGAAATATTAATTTTAATACACACAAACTTAAGAAGACATGCACAATTAATACTCTACTAAGAATAGAATACATGACACTTACCTCCTTTATTGAAGATCTGGTGATGATTGATGGGATGGGAGGAGTAGTGTGTGTGGAAGTTGTTATTGTTTAGAAGGGGAATCCCCTTCCATTAGGACTCGAGGTATCAAGTCCTTTTCTGGGGTTACTTCCCTTCTTCTTTTAATGCCAATAGGACCAGCTTGAGAGTCACTGGACCTGTCACACAACAAATCTGTCCATAGAGGTCTGTACCTCCCGCTCCTTTAAGATTTGCCTAAAATGGGCCACAACATTGTCATTGTAATAGTCACCAGCACGGCTTGCAATAGCTGTGTTAGGGTGATTTTCATCCATAAAAGTTTGCACTTCAACCCACTTTGCACACATTTCCTTAATCTTTGAAGCAGGCACAATGGATTCCACAACTGGCATAGGCTTCTCAGGGTTAGCCCCAAACCCTTCAAAGTCTTTCTTAATTTCCATACTAATTATCACCCTTTTTACCACAGGGTTGGCACTAGAAGCTTTCTTGGGGCCCATGGTGACTTATTTTGCAGTTACAAGCACAAAAAACACTGGGATAAGGTGAAATGTACCGAATGTATGCGTGGATGCGACCGCACTGGCTGGCTTGTAAACACTGGCACCCATGGGGCAGCTGAGGCCACACGTGGGACATGTCCCGGACGAATCATGTAAGGCGAGGCAAAATTTTTGCGTTCAAATGCTTCATTTGGCGGATTTAACATAAGGTGATACATTCGTAAGCCAGGGGTCCACTGTACTAACAAAACAGCATCCACAGTATCTTTTTCTGTCACTTGATTCATGTTTTTAGTAACTTTTGTCTTTCCTGGCACAAAGAGAGGTAGCAGAACTTAACACCATATAACCTGAAGTTGTGTACTAATCTTTGAGGCACACACCAAGAGAAATACATTACAACTAAAGATTTTAAACAAGGTAAACAGTATAGATTAGCTTAATGTTAGTTTATACTGTGATGAGAAAATGTTATCTTGTTAATTAAACAATAAAAGAAGTTGAAAGGTTGGCCTCAGTCACTTAAAGTATTACTACAGGGAAGACTAAATGGCTCATATGGATTTAATGTTTATTTTTAATATAATTATGTAGTGGAGAAGAAAAATGGTTATTCCTTCTGCCACTGATCCATTCAATGGGGTGCCTTGTTGGCACTGAAAGGCTCTTGAGCAAAAAAATTAGTACCCTCACCTTGGATCAAACTTGATTACCTCCTGTTCCACAGGTATTGTGTGACTTACAGATTTAGTGCTTACCTATAAATATACAGTAGTAATTTTCCCACCAATGGCTCTTATCTTTAGCTAAACTCATACTGCTGTCCCACCTGGCTGTTGCTGCATTTTCTAACTTTCTTTGCTACTGCAATAAATATTCTACCATTCATTATCAAACTTGCTTTCCCTTTACATCTGTTCTCACTGTTCACATACTTTCTCACATACATTTGATTTTTGAAACACTCATTCTTTCTACACTTACTTTCTTTTAGTTCAAGCAAATAGTGACTATTTCACTTAAATGAATGCCAAATAAACGTGAAAATTTGTTTGGCATGTGATACATTACATACCGGAAGGCAAACAAAGTGTTTGGAGATACTACAAGAGGCCAGCTCAGCCACCCTCAAGTAAGGGTAGTTGCCCAAAAGAAACAAGGCATCAAAGATGAAAGATCTTGCTAGTGAGAACAGAAAGATCATTACAGTGCATACCTTAAGAAATCACCTCTTTTGTACTTAGGTGTCCAGGGATAAGAATCGAGCTAAAATTATTACAAAGAACATGATATTGAATGAATTATAACAGGAACCACTTATCACAAAAGTAGATAAAATACAGTAATTATGAAAGCATGATGTAAACTGGATTAAAACACAATAGATAAAAATTATAATGGTGTATATACAGCAATGACAAACTCTAGTATCGTGGATGAATAAACACATGCACAAGATATTAGCTCCATCCAGAGATGTATCCTAAAATCTATGCAGTACTATACAACAAATGATGGCAACATATAAAGCTGACCATATAGAATGTGCTATAAAACATGCAGTGCTATGCTACAGCCTGTGTGCTAACCTTGTGCTGAGGGTCTACACTGTTGCCACGTCCAGTGTTCATGTAGTTGCCATCATACTCCAACTCCTTCCCAGACCCAAAATCCTGACCGGACCTCACCCTGCCAGGCTTGCTGGTACGGTCTACTTTGGGAGGTACTTCAGGCCCTGCCTCATTAGTATGACCATTGAGGTATTGGGGTGGTGGGGCCATATTTCCTCCTGGCCCTAGTGGGGAGTATCCCGCCTGGGGGGGCCCTCGGCCAGAGGGGGCATTTGGGGAACGGCGGTGGTGAGGTGAGTGCATAGGTGGGGGTAAAGTCTGCTGAGGAGGCCGGCCACTGTACCCAGGTGGGAGTACAGCTGAGTATGGAGAGCCAGGTATGGAACTCATGCCTCCTCCCCCGCCACCCGTGCTGCTGCTTTGCATGCTTGCAGGAGGACGGGATGAGTACAGGTCAGAGCCATAGGAGCCGCCACTGGCAAAACCATACTTGCTGTCACCACCGTGAGATTTTCTGCGGTCATCGTAGGCATCATTGGGTCCAGGATGCTGTAATGAAGGGGCAGTGCAACATGCAGACCACACAATGCTGTGCAAGAAGCTTCATCATGCCTTATAATCATGAGTTTTACATACATAACAAAAAGCATGAAGTAGTGAGGTATTTATCTAGATCTAATATGTTATAAGGATCACAGTCCTAGCAAGGTGTCAAAGACCAGGATGGAGAAAAAAAAGGGAAATATATGTTTTACATTTAATAATTTCTATTCTGATAACTAAGTTCATGCTGTGAAATTTTTAAAATAAAAATGTGATAGTTTCTCTAACTAGATAAGTGTGACATATTGTAATAAAAATGTAAAGGCTGCTGCGACAGACACCTTACCATAAGACAAAGACTATACACATGTTACCATCACATAAATACTGGTATACATACCTGACCAGTGATACATATTAGGATTACTTGACTTTATATTCTCAAATATTGAAAATACGAAAGATCACTACAGTATGTCTTGTGTCAAATGAATATATATAAAAAATTCACAAGTAATTCATAATCAATACTTTAAGAGCCTCTTCTGGCAAGTTTCCTTACACCCATTGTTCCTGTTCACCTAGCAGTAAATAGGTACCTGGGGGTTAGTCAACTGTTGTGGGTCACATCCTAAGGGGTAATTTACCAGTGTTGGTTGGGCTGTAAAATGAACTGTGTAAAAAATTTCTTAAAAGATGCTACAGATATTAAAATTTTGTTGAAAACTAAAATTGTGTGTAAAATTAGAGTTGCCATTATCTATAAAACTTTCAGAGTGCCATATGACCCTTGTGGGTTTTGAGCTTAGTTACGATTATAATACTAATATAAAACTTTCAACAGTATAGTAGCTCAAAAACAAATACAGAACTGATTTTAGAATTAGCAAAATAAAATCTTTAAATTTTTTATATGTTCACTCAACATATCATAGCAACCATGCTAAATTTCAATTGCCAATGTATATATACATCACAGTACCCACTACTACATATACTTCACCAACGGTAAAAAAAAAAAAATACTTTAGCAATCATATAGACAAGCCATGGGAAACCTTTCGACTGCAGGCTGAATATGGTCCTCAGTATATTTTGATTCATCTCTAGTGGTGTTATTTGATCAAGACACCATTTTACATATCTTCTGTGGAAGAACAGTAAATGTCTGACACAATTTACTTATCAAGAAGTGTTACACTCACAACATCCTGAAGCTGGATCAAAACACACTTAGAGCCAGTAATTTCCCTTTTAGCTCATTCTAATGATACAATAATTTATCACAAATAATTGATTTACCGGTGGTAAAGCAATGTTACTTCTGACAATACTTGACCAACAAGACAATATGACTAGAAATTATGATATGTGATCTGACAGTGACCAAACACTTCATGCTTTTATGAATGTCCACATACAGAAGACTCTAGGAAATATTGACACCAATGATTTTTATAATTTCATTTTTGTTTTAGCAAGTTATAAAACAAAAGGTAATTATTTTCATATTAAGGTCTTTAGAAAAAGTGTACACAGTAGCAACATTAAGAGTAAGTTTTGTATCAAATTATCCTCAATGATTAATAGCAAGCTAATTTTATTTACACGTCAAGAAATCGCATCTGCTTTTTCGTGTAGAGTTGCAGTGGCTCATAAGTATAAAATATTAGTGATGGAAGACTGTTCAAAAATGTTACTAAGATGGCACATTCCTTTCATTCTTATTGAAATACTTCTTAAATGACACAAGCTTCATAATTTAAGAAGAATAACAGTTACAACTAACTCAAATATTAAGGATGAAAGCTAGCAACATAATAATGGTCTGAGAGACTGAACATAGTCTATCTTTCATTTAAATTCCAAGCCTCAGTTGTGATTTTTTTAGCTTATTTGAGTTTGCACTCAGGTATGCAATGTTTAAAATTCCAAATGTATCATGATTATATAAAATTTAACTTGTTTTATAGCTTTTGGCAGTAACTAAGGATATTTATCAGGAATTATATTAGCTCATGATTAACAGAATATGGGTCATTAATTACAGAGTTCGTGTGCACTATGTACATCATACTACCTGTCATCCTAACTAGCTACCTTAGTTTTCATAAGTCAATGCTTCTCATACTGTGTACTGCCAACCAGATTCAAGCCATAAAATAAAAGGTATATCATTTTATTTATGGTATACAATACTGACAAGCTAATGAGTAAGACATAAGCAAAATTAAATATATTTATTTGCCAAAATGTTTCACTTGCACAGTAGACCTCTTCAAGGGAATAGAGGTAATTTCATGCTTGACACAGTGGAAGAAGTGGAGCGGCAATTTTGAGATGCACAGGCCTTCGGTTTTAATAGGTGGTGTTTGGTCATCCTATCAAGGCTGAGGGAAAGAACACCTCAAAATTCTTTCTCTACTTCCTCCATTATCTAAGGTATTAAATCACCTCTGTGCATGATTGAAGAATGATAGGTAAAAGGGCAAAGATGCAACCAATGTGACATTTTACTGTGGCAATATTTTGCTCTCCAGGAGTTTTATCAAGCTGCTACAACTTGATGCAGCTCCTAGAGTGAAACTGTGCCACAAAAAATGTCACATTAGTTGCATGTCCTTTTACCTAGCATTTTGTCAGTAATTCTACCATTATTACTGAGTGAAAAAGCCTGCTGTGCAGGTGAAATGTTTTGGTAAATAAGGATATCCCAGTATTACAACCGTCTGTCATTCATCAATGAGGGGTATATAGTAGTACTGTACTTTCATTTTCAAAAATTATTTTGATATATCATCTGCAGTAAGTTGAGGGAGAGGCAGGATTTATTTTCAGTCTCCACAGACAAAACTAAATCAGTCATTTTGTCTGTCAGCCATCCACATATGCAATGTTTTCATGCCTTCTTCTCTGTCCTTCCAAATCATCAGTGTTAAAATTAATATAAGGAACTTGGATACGTATATGTACATAATTTGTTTATCACCCTGGAGTTACAAATACTGGTTGTATCTATCATGTGCAAGGGAGAGACTCAGCCTTTGGTGATGCCCTGTTGCATAACTTAAACCTTCTACTTTACAGTTTCTTTGGGGCACAACTTTGGTGGGAAATGAGTGCCAAAAAAATAGTCATGAATTCCTAAGAGTTCCTAATTTTATGATGAAATCAATAATTACCTGACAAGGAAGTAACAACAGATACAGTGGAACCTCAATTGTCATCCAGTCCAGTTATTGTATAATTCAGTTTTCAACCACTTTTTTTCCGTGAAATTTTCCCCATTTTCATACATCCGCTCAGAAATCGTCTGTACCAGACACGTCCGCCTGCCCGCGGGACGCGGCCGCTCATACGTTCATGACTCAGTCTGCCTTTGTTACTCTTTCAGTGAGCATTACTTTGTGCATTCATCCGAAACATTTCATGATACAATCCATTATTTTTTGTGCTTGCAACTGGTAAATAAGCCACCATGGGGCCAATGAAAGTTCTGAGTGCCAGCCCTTTGGTAAAGCAGGTGAGAAACAAGGTAGAATTCAAGAAAGAACTCGTAGAAAAATATGAAAGTGGCATATGTTAAATGTTCATTTATCCATTTCATTAGCCATTTATATTTATTTTTCATTGTTTTCTTTATGTAAAACTATAGTTATTCTCTATAAAATGTATTTTTTTTTTTAATATTTTTGGGTGTCTGGAATGGATTAATTGGATTTGCATTATTTCTTATGGGAAATATTACTTCAGTTTTCGTACAAGTCAGTTTTTGGCCGACCTTCTGGAACGGATTAAAGATGAAAACCAGGGTTCCACTGTAAATTGTAACTATTTTTTTCTTTAGCTATGATGACATTAGCCAAGTTAAAAACTAAACAATTCTTTTAAACACAAGCCATTTCCCACTGAAATAGGGGTAAGCAAAAAACACACACACATACATGCATTTATTTTCTTTGACTGTAGGAAGGCATCTGATACTCTACCCTACATGAGACTGGGGCAAAAACTTGAGAAGCAGGCAGAATAACAGGGAATGTTCTCCAGTGGACCAAGAAGTGCCTCATTCAAATAGAATGACCTAAGTTAAATCCCCCTCTGTACTGCACTTTGGTTAGAATGCCCTAGGAGTAAGCATAGTGCCTAGCATATCTCCAGAGGCTCACATCTACCAAAAAATCTCTGCAGTCAATGCTTGCCTGGCAAATCTGTGAGAAGCCTTCAGGAATCTCAACAGTGTCATTCCAGGCACTTTATATGACATATGTCAGGCCCATCTTGGAGCATGCAGCACCAGTATAGAGCCAAAACCTGAAAAAGCACATTAAGAAACTGGAGAAAGAACAGAAGTATGCAACAAGACTAGTTGCAGAGATCAGGGATATGAGCTATGAAGAGATGCTAAAGGAGCTAACAACACCAAAGGACAGAAGGACCAAGGAAGACATAAAACAACATACAAAATACTCAGAAGAATTGATAGGGAAGACAGGGACAGGTTCTTTGTAAAGTTGGAAACATATACACATAGGTAGAACTGGAAGTTAGACACACAGACATCACAGGGATATCATGAAAAATTTCTTCATATCCCTGTGAAGTATGTGTGGTCAGGAAGTGGAATAACCTTGACAAAGTAGGAGTGGAGACAGATTCTGTACCTGATTTTAACCCTTTGACTGTTTCGGCCGTATATATACGTCTTATGCACCACTGTTTCTGACGTATTTATACGTGTAAATTCTAGCGGCTTCAAATCAAGCGGGAGAAAGCTGGTAGGCCCACATGTGAGAGAATGGGTCTGTGTGGTCAGTGTGCACCACAAAAAAATCTTGCAGCATGCAGTGCGTAATAAGAAAAAAAAAAAAGACAATTTTTTTGGATTAAAACGCTGACTTTGAGGTGTATTTTCGTATAGTATTTATCATTGTATTCTCGTTTTCATGGTCTCAGGTGATAAAATGAAAAACGTATTACAGAAATAGAGATGATTTTGATTACTT